AAACATTAAAACAAAAGAGATAATTTAAAAATAAATAAATAAATTACCTAAGAATTTTTTTTTTTATAACCATTACCTAAGAAATATAGTTGCAAATATTGTTGGGCATGTGCGAAAAATAAAACACATCAAAACTTTATAAAAATATTCATAACAAAATATGAAACATAATTAATTTTGATAAAATAATTTGAATAGAAAACACATTATAAATTACACATCTCACTATTAATATAAAAGAATGTTATATATATGTGCGTGTATTAAATATTAAAAAAACTATTAAAGACATGACTATGTTTAAGCCATAGGGGAATGAGTCAAAAAAAATATAAAACTATGTTAATTCCAAAGGATTCAAAACCCAAGACCTTTCTTAATACCAAACATGTGCTCTACCAACTTATCTAATTCATTTCTTATTAATATTTAATAGTTTTTTTATACTAATACTAAAACATATACTATATATATACATATATACATACAAAGATTATATATGGAGTGGGGGTGGGATGAGGGGGCGGCTGCCCCCTGCTCCCTTTGCCTCCGTCCCTGCCTATTTATATTTCTCCGCATATAAATATGCATTATAAACATTTTCTAAATATATTCATATACTTAACAGTCTTGCCATAGCAATAGAGTAAAAATGTAAAAAGGCATTATAGGTAAGAGAGAGATTAGCTAGTGTCGAGAGTTTCTTTGAAATTAATTTTTGTTTTTTTTTTTTTTGTGTAGCCAGAGTTTTTATCGTCGAACATAGTGACTAATTCTCTTGCTGAATTGTAGATACATCTTTTGGTTGGGACAACTGAAATATTTGCTATATTTAGTAATATATTCTGAACATATTTAAATATGTGCTAGAAATATTTCCTGAAATAGTCCTATACTTTACAGCTTTGTCATGGCCATAGTGTAAAGTGGAGAATTGGAGAAATGTATGGTATAATGTATAGTATTATGCTTAGGGGAATGGTTGGTGTTTGAGGCCTTCAATGATGTTGATATTTGGGACTCTTAAGGGGATGTTTGGTTCATGGAAAAGAACTTTCAAGGAAAATGATTTTCTAAAATTTGAGGAAAACAAAGTTTTTTGATATTTGGTTCATGAAAATTATTTTCCAATGGAAAACTAATTCCTCAAATATGAGAAAAACAAAATCTTAGCATAGGGTTGATATTTTGTTTTTCAAGGTGGGAGGGAAGAAAGATTGAGTTGATTGGACTATTTTACCCTTATGATTTCCTCTTTTTTGGATGCTACTGGCCCTATTACATTGTAGTATCTGTTCATATACTTTCTCAACCTACTGAAACACAAAGAGCCAATAACGCCTCCACTGAGGCTCGAACTCATAACCTTCCAAAATAGAAGTCCAACCCGAGTACCATTAAACCACATAGTCCTGGTCCTTATGCTTTTCTCTTAATTATTATTGAGTATTATTATTGTATAGGGACATTTAGGTCTTTATACACATTATTCCTTACAATCACAAATCCAACCAAACAATGGAATCTATATTCCCAGTAACTCATTTTCCACCAACCAAATAATGGAATTCATATTCCCAATAACTACTTTTCCATGAAATTTTAATTCCATTTCCTTTCAAATATTTTCTGCGAACCAAACGAGCCCTTAGGGGTTGTAAAATACTTTTTTTTTTTTTGCATGTGGGGTGGGGAACTCTTCTATTTTTATGCTCTACTGACTCATATCCCTTATTGGACTAATTCTTCATAACATAGTGGGAACCACTTTTTGAGCTACAATTATTTATCAATGAAAAAAAAAAAAGTAGAACTTTGTACCATTACGTGCATAATTAAACAACACTGATAACTAAGTGTAACCCGACTATTTAATGGACTCGAGTCCAATATGTAATGATGTTGAAACATTGACCAATGGGGATGGAGCACAAAGAATACTAGTGCAAGGATTACAATGCAAGTTTGATTTCGAATGAGAGTGCGTTTTGGCATTTTTTTATTTAAGAAAAAGTGACAAATTGTCTCTCTAAGTGAACTGGATAGTGCAATTGAGTTTCTTAAGTACAAAAAAGTTGCATTCGAGTCTTTTAAATTGATAAAATTGTTTAATTAAGTTCAAAATGACTTGTTTATCAGGTTAAATTGATAGAGTGTTGACACGTGTCTTTTATATTTTAATATTGTAAACAAATTTATTTTTATTTACTAAAATTACAAATATTATTTTAAAACAACACACACAGCCACCGGTTGTCCACGCCGGACAGCCGGTGGCTGTCTTCTTCACGGACAGTCGTGGCTGTCCAGAGAGGACAGCCACAACCGTCTTCTATATCTGGAACGATGGCGACGACCATGGTCCCTCGTTCCAGACGGTGACAACCATGGCCGTCTTCCTTAAGCAGCTATGATCGTCTTCCTTAGACGGTCGTGGCTATCCATGAAGAAGACAGCCGGTGACTGTGTGTTTTTTTTTTTAAATAATATTTGTAATTTTAGTAAATAAAAATAAATATGTTTAAAAAATAAAAATATAAAAGACACATGTCAACAACACATCAATTTAACATGATAAACAAGTTTTGGACTTAATTGAACAACTTTACCGGTTTAGATGACTTGAATGAAGCTTTTTTTACTTAGGGAATCAAATTGCACTATCCAGTTCACTTAGGGGGCCAATTTAACACTTTTTCCTTTTATTTAAGTTGGTCAATTATGACAATCTATGTTGATTTACCTCCCCTTGTGGTCCTTTGTCAACTAGAATCATAAGGTGAAGTTTACCTAATGTGCACTCTTGAACAACAATTGCAGGCCAAATTTTCATTGTCATCTAAAAGAAAAAGAATAGAAAACCATAAGGTATAGAAAAAAAGTTCAAAGCAAATACTCGAGTTGTGTAAGTTACTAGCCTTAAGCAAGGTGATGCAAAAAGCACGAGTTATAGAAAAACAAGTCCAACACTCAATGTGTAAGTCACTAGAGCATCGAATACTTGCATGAAGCACCATAGTCCATAGGTTGATGCACAAAGCACCAAGTTAATTCGCAGAACGCCAAAGTGAACTGGATGGTGATCAATTTTTTTTATGAAATTTGAAATTTTTAACCACTTTAATTTTTAAGTATACGTGACAGAAAATAACAATTTGTTGGCCATTAACTCACTTCAATTGTTTATCAATTTTTAATATAATAACTAAATTATTTTAAGATTAACTATAAACTACACCTAAAATTTAAAAATTAACCATCTTATCTTTTTAATGTTTAATAATAATAATAATAATAATAATAATAATAATAATAATAATAATAATAATAATAATAATAATAATAATAATAATAAACTTCTTATTCAGCACTGTGCTATGCATAATGCATCCATGCCACTAGTAATTTTATTTGAATGGTAAAAACTAACATTAATTCTTTTTTATTATTTTTTCTTATTATTTTAAACAAAAGTTAATTCTCATTTTTTAAAGAGATTTAAAGTGAGGTTTTATATGTGTATCCATTAATTATTGATTGTTTAGGACTTCCACAACTATGGAGGATGGATAGCTGGATATGTTTGGTAGATAAATTTATATATTTTATAAATTGTCCAACATGTTTTTATATTAATAAATAATCATACCAATGAAGTTTCAAAATGCTTTACGGTATTCATATCCATTTTGATGAATGGGCTTTGCATTAGTATACAAAGTTAATGGCTCAAAATTAAAGTTTCAAAGTGGTTTGATCCTTTAGTCTTTTTTAATGTTTCAAAATGTTTTTGAAAAACTTCAAAGCAAATAGAGAAAAGTGTTAGAAATTAAATATGTTGTCAATGAACTAATGAATGATTATATATTACTAAGTCAATAGTTGAAAGATATGAACAAGTTTTGAAACTAGGTCAACGGTTAAAAGATTAAATTTACACTAATTAATTAAAAATAATAACATAATTACATTTATAATTTTAGAACAATTAAGTGATTAAAATTGTAAATTTTTCATTGTCTTAACTGACCATAACAATCTTCTAATTGAAAATAATGCACGTACCGAATTGAACTTAATTGAAAAATAGTATCTATAAAAATCTATATTTAATTATTTACACATTAACATTCAACTCATGACTAGGGATGGCAATGGGTCGGGTGTGGGTCGGGGAGGGCTACATCCATCACCCGACCCACCTTATATTTTCTCCACCCACCCCCACCTCCAACCCGCATCGGGTGGACTTTTTTAGAACCCACCCCCATCCCCACCGAGTGCGGGTGCCCACTACGGGTAGCCACCACTTATCATCTTATTATGTTTTTCAAAAAATAATATTTAAATTATTTACACATAATAAAAAAATAAAATCCATTAGTGATACTAAAACATAAATAATGGAAATATTTAAATATAATAACTAAATTGTTAATTTTTAAAAATAAACTTAGTAGTTTTGATATAAAAAATAGTAAAAAGATACACGGAGTTATATAAACTATTATAAATAACTACATACTAGTATTTATTTTACTATTATATATATATATATACACACACACATGGTGGGTCGGATGGGGTTCTAGGCGGGTCTTGTACATAGAACCCGAATCCAACCCGACCCACCGCGGATTTTCTTTTTTAAGACCCACCACCCACCATCACCCAAAAAAACCCGATCCATGCGGGGTGGATTCGGGTGGATATCCACGGGTCGGATTAAAATTGCCATCCCTACTCATGACTCATTATCCATGCACATTTATTGCTTTTATTACACGTAATATATTAATATATTAATTTTTTTCTTCTCATTATTCCTAACCTAGCTCTAATCGCATTATTAGGATTGTGAATATCTATCACTACTCGCTCTCCCGACCTATTTCACAGATAAAAATCTGTGAGACGGTTTCACACAAATTTTTTTTCCGATATATAAATAGCATTGATGTCTTATTATATAACTAATATATTAGTTACGGAAATTTTTATGACACTAAATAGCATTGATGTCTTATTATACTTAGTATAACTACATAGGTCTAACGAATTCAATGCTAATATCTAATACAATTCATTATCACACTTACATAATTATAATTGCAAGAAGGTACAACTCACAGCACATTCACATAATATTTTAAAATATTTATTTTAAAATTCTACTTGTATTACAATGTAACGGAGGCAGAAGTAAATGGGGCATGAGGTAAGAAGAGAGTGTTGAGTGAGGGTTTCACAATTGAGAAAACGGCAAGCCAACCTTGTTGTGAAGGATGTATTGCATCCCAAAAGAATGAGTGCTTTGGATCCTCACACACTACATATTCCTTTCTTCCATCTTCATCAACATCTCCACAGCTTGATCCACTTCTTCTTCCCTTGCAACATTCTTCCCATGGATTCACAAAACTTGATTTCCCTAAAACCAAAAAAACATACAATAAATCAACCTCCTAACTTTTGTCTTTTTTATTCTTAATATAACACATTATGTTTATCTAATTGGTTGAGCATATATAAGCATAAATGTGCAACACAGCTATCAGTTTATTAGGCTTTTAATTGAGATGGAACACATGCTTCCATTTGAATTGATATCAAAACCAACTACATGTCAAAGTTCCTGAGTTATAATCTCTGCATCACTCGATAAAAAAGAGACTATGGTCCACATGTTGCTTACATCCCGTCAAAAAGTAACCGGCCCTTAGCCCCTCAGGCCTCCATAGAGGACCATGACCAACTCTCCATAGAGTGGTCCCAATCCAAGCTCATGCTCTTTTTGCTTGAGGCCGGTTCAGGACTAGTTGAACCCTAAACTAGCCGATTGTCGCCCCTACCTCCGACAGTTCAACGAATTCATACACTTAAAGCAACCATGATAGTAAATTTTGAGAAAATTTTGAATGAAGTGGAAGAAAGAAAATGAGGAGAGAGAAGGATTGAGATCATACTGTAAGATCAGAACTTGGTTTTTGTCTCTGAAGTGGGGGCCCACTACAGCGCAATAGCTTTTTTTTTTCTTGAAAAATGAAAACTCATTTTCTTGCTTTTTTTCCCTATCCCTTTCTCTCCTACTTGTCATCTTAAAATTTGTGAAAAAATCAACTATTGAGAATACTCTTACCTGGGCGATTATTGTGTACGTTAAAGGCATACATGAATGCAGAGTAGAGATCAAGAATGACAAAAGTGGATCCACCAGTTTCAGTGTTCAGTTTCTCCACAGCTTTTTTCAGCAGTTGATTGTGAAGCCTTGCAAATGAATTGTCCGATTCGTTGCAAGGTGAAGGTTGGATGGGAACAACATCTTGAGGCATGCATCCAAATGGCGGCACTGCCACCACACTTATTCTGGGAACTCCCAAACTGTATATGCGTTTCAGGTTCAACACTAGCTCACTGATAACACTCTCTATATCCTGCATGCACAAAAACATAGCATAATAACATTATAATACCTCAAATCCAGTTAATTCTGGTAATCTCTAACTATCACTCATTTTCAATTTTTAGTGCTTCATTTTAAAATTAAAGCTATCAAATTTAGTTATAGAGTATTGAATCATTCACAATTATAGTCTAATTTTTTTTTTTAATGCTTTGTTTGACACGCCTAGCTGAAAAGCTAGTAAGTTAATAAGCTAACTAATTAAAATTAAAGTGTTTGGTAAAATTAATTATTGAATTAGTTGATAATTAAGTGTAAAAGACAAAAGCTAGGATAAATTAAGATATTAAGAATTTGATTAATAAAAGGTAGATGATGTCAATTTTATAAATTAATAAGAATAAAAAGAAAAAAAAAATTAAACGCTATGAGCTTATCTTCAAATGCTACTTGAGATAGCGTTTCAAAATAAACTATTATTTTAAGCTCTTTATGTTTTACTCAATATAGCTTATAGTTTATTTGTAACTTAAAATAAGTTATAATATCTAAAATAAGCTTTATCAAACATAATGAATTATTAAATACCATGTGGTCCAATGGTATTTGGTTACTCATTTAAGTGGGAGGTGATAAGTTTGAGTCTCAGTGAATGTCTTGAGTAATTTCGATATCCCCTTCCCTTGTTAAAAAAAAAAAAAAAAAAAAAAAAAAAAAAGAGGCACAAAGAGACTTGACATGAGTTTAGGGATTGTTTTTGCCTTGCCTTTTGGCCGCCGACCGACAAAGCACCGTAGTCGTTCCCAGCCGCCGAAACATGAGCAACCGACGAACTGAGGTCGCGTTTGGTGAACACACGTTGTTGAATCAGTTGTTGGAAATCATTAATCTGTGAGGTCATGTTCGGCCCACCATTGATGGTGTTGAAAACACCGGTTCCGCCGTACGCAAAGTTCATCCCATAGTTCTGTAAATTTAAACCGAGTTTCCACCCTCTGTAGGGCACCGGAGATCTGATTCCCAGGTACTCAGCTGAACACCACAACTTTTTAGTAAATAAATTATTTCCTTTTTTTTCTTACATAAAAAAAAAAAATGAAAAAAGGACCTATTTTAGTCCCCTCCGGAATGTTTTTTTTTTTGTAAACAAATGTTTTGGTTATTAAAACATGTAAAATATTTAGTTCGGTAACTACCATATTTAAGAATTGTACCTGCTCAAAACTTTTAGTTCTGTAACTACAATATTTTAAGTTCAATTTTAAGTGAAAGTATTATTCTAAGTTAAATATGAGACAAAATGGCTAATATTATTTACTGATTAAAAGACAACACAACAAAATCCATCAATTATGACTAGAGATTAACACTGCTTTCACTTCCGCTACTACTAAGTTAATTTCTCATAGATTCTACTCAGTATTGTTAGACTATATTTAAATCTCACAAAAACAATCAATTGGTTTGATTTTCTCGATTTAAGTCGATAATCTATGATGATTTATTTCTTTATGACCATTTACAGACTAAAGTCACAAGACAAATTTTACTCACAATAATATTCACTCATCACCCAAAAATTGATCAAAATTTATTATTTAAAAAAAAAAAAAAAAAAAAAAAAAACTATGATCAATAATGTATGTTGAGTAATGACCACAAAAAAAAAAAAAAAAAAGGTATGGGCAGGTAGGTGTTAAGGAACTGCACCTATGAAGTCGGTGAGAACACGGCCGTCGGAGAATCTGCCGGAAGGTTTGCCGGGGAAAGTGATGCCATAGGGTTCCTCCCAACACTGAAAACCATCAACCGGCGGCGTATTCCCGGTATCGGCATAGGAGTCTCCGAAAACGAACAGCTTTGTATCCGCGCCATGTCCGACCTCTGCACTTATATATCAGTGGGAGAAGAAGAAGTTAATTATTGCAGTGCGGAAAAACATACATATGCCAAAATCGAAGCTGGAAACAATAAACGAAGAAAAGAGAGATTGTCGGCGACCTGGAATAACAATGAGAACACACAAGAAGAAGGCTAAAGTGAAGCTCACTTTCTTCTCCATTATTGTTGTAAAAAGGGAGTTTCAATCCACTTAAATTATTAAGGTTGGACTGTTCTTTCTGTACTTGGAGACAAGCAAGTGGTTGCCATACTGATTACTGACAATACTGTCCAATGCTTAAATTTTCCCAGCAAATGGTTGCCATGTTGTTTGGTTCAAGTCATATAACATAACCAAGGGAATATGACATTCAAGAGCTAACATCATGTTTGGTTCACATTATCTTAAGGAATCTAAGGGGGCGTTTGGTTCAGGTTATATAACATAACCAAGGGAATGTAACATTCCAAAGCTCACATTCCTATGTTTGGTTCATATTATCTTAGGGAATCTTACATTCCCAAAGAATGTCACATTCCCTCCACATAGGATTTTGAAGGGAATGTGAATCCCTTCAATTTCTTAAGTTATGTAAGATAACATTGGTTATGTTAGGAATATTATAGTGTGTATAAAAGATAACCCTAAACCAAACATGATTACATACCTCAATTTTAACCAAACACAGGAATCATTCCCAGTAATCCAACATTCCCAGCAATCTAACATTCCCTAAGGTAATCTTACATTCCGTGAACCAAACGACCCCTAAGGGTCCGTTTACCAACAGAAAACTATTCTCTGTTTTCTGTTTTCTAATTTTTCAGTTTTTGTTTTCTAATTTTTCAGTTTTCATTATCTGTTTTCCATTCTCTGTTATTTAGAAAAAACTTGTTTACTAACAGAAAATTATTCTCTGTTTTCTGTTTTTTAATTTGTTATGTTTTCACCTAAAATTTAGTTTAGATAATATTAATATTTTTGAGCTAATATTTAAAATATTTTTTTTATATATATATTCATTTGAATGACATGTATATGAATATATAACTTTTACTTTGAATTCTAATGTATATGAGATTTCAATATCCAATATTTGGACCGAACTTGTATTATGATGTAACATAATTAAAAATATTTGAACTAATAATCTATTGAGTTCAATCAAGATATAAAACATTATATACAGTTTAATTATTAATTCTTAATTTTAATAATGTAAATAATGTATAACTTTAAAATGTAAGCAAATAAATTATGTTTAAATAAGTAAAGTAAGTAGAAAATATAAAATATAGTAATAAGTAAAATAAGATGATAATGAAGGTAATCATAATAATGTGGTTATAGTAACATATAACCAAATAGATGATAGATGATTATATTTTCAATTTCGAAAATAGTTTTTAAGTGTGTTCTAGTTTTCCAGAAATTTTCAGAGATTATTTTCAGTTTTCATTTTTCAAAATAAAAACTGTGTTAGTAAACATGTTTTCTGTTTTCTATTTTCCAATTTTTGAAAATTTCTTGAAATTTCCAGTTAGTAAACAACGATTTTGAAAAGGAATGTGATACCCTTCCATTTCTTAGGTTATGTAAGATAATCTTGGATATTTATACATTTTACCATTTTAATTCTAATTATTAAAAATATATATTTTATGTTAGCTTATTATTATTATTATTATTATTATATATAATTTAATAAATTTAAAAATTAAAATAAATTAATAAGATAACGGTATCATATATAATTACATAATTTTAAAATATTAACTAAAATCTTGAACTTTATAAACAAAATTATTTTATATTCTAACATAACGTAATAAAATAAAAAATATATAATTAATATATAAATATATATATATATAAATATATATATATATATATATATATATATATATATATATATATATTATAATCTACAAATTTAATAAGAGCGAATAATGTTAGGCCCTTAACTGGAACAAAAAAAATGTCGGTACTAATTGTTTCTTAAAATGAATGGTTCATATTATTTTGATTTTAGTATCTTTTAATGATTTTCCTTATTTACCCTCTATTATATTATTTTCTTCCCTTAAATAACCCTAAATTCCGTTAGTTTAAACTTTAGTAACGGAATATTCCGTTAGCTATTTATTATTCTTAACATACTCTTAATTTATATAAGGTCTTAGGTTTGAACCTCATCCCAAGTATAGTTGGTATAATTGTTAAACATATATTATGAATATGTTAAAATGTATTAAAAAATATATAATATAAAATTTAACATAAACTTTGGTCAAATAATTAGCTCAACTAAATACATAGCATTCAAAGTTGAGCATCAAAGATTATAAATCAGGAACTACTTTAAAGTCATTTGATTTTCTTGAATTTTTTATTAAAAAAAAAAAACAAACAAACAAATTTAGGTTAAGTTTTTTTTTTTTTTTTTTTTTGTTTAATTAATATTCTTTTGATTATATTTAGAACAAAACTTAATATTTCAATTATGCTTTTACATTATTGGAATGATTTATGCCATTATGGTATTAATGTTTTTTGTATTTTTTTTTATAATGGTACAATTGTACATTACTTAATTTACAAATATTATACTATTATTTTTTTTATCGGACAAAATTGTTCTTACATCATTGTCAGACCTGCGCAGCCTAACAACAAAGTTATTGATCATAAATACAATTACACATGGACTCTAAAACGGTAGGATCATTTTCCAAATAATTGACAATGTTAACATCCTACTAGCTCCAATTGAACAAGTTTACACATCAAAAATTTATCAATGCATGAAAACCTTATAAAGAAATTTGTAAGTTAATTTTTACTATATCATTATATTAATATCTATTGTAACCATATATTTTGAATTATTTATTATCATCCTCTATTGACAGCAATTGTAACAATTGTCATGGACAAACTCTCAAAACAATTTGTCGCAACAAGGAATGGAAATTAAAAAAAAAAAAATCATTGATTTCTTTATTGTTGAAGAAAAGTATATATGACAATTTATTGCTCTTATTAATTAAATAAATTAGTACCTACAACAAAAAATAATACATATGCATTTAGTTAATTTAGAATTATATGTATATAATGCTTTATTTAAAAAAAATTATTCATTATAAAAAAATTTAAAAGAAATTAATTTCATTAGTTATATTATCTTTATTTTCTACAATTCAAAGATTCCTTACCTTCAAATTTATTAATTTATTATATTCACTACATTGTTCATTGTCTTCTTTTTTACATTATCATTTAATTAAATATCAAAGTTATAATACAAAATATGTTATATATATATATATATATATATATATATATATATATATATATATTTATTTATTTATTTATTTATTTATTTATTTATTTACCAAGTATTTTATACAAATATAATAAATATTAATATTTTGTTCAATACTTTCACATGATAACCTACGGCACACATCTCATAACACATGTAGGGAAAAAACTACCACTACTAAATATCAATAGGTGTTTGTACGCTAAAGAGTTCATATTACAACTAAAATCTCAATCATATACACAGCAAGACAAATCTAAAACTTCCTACACCATAATCTTTGCATCTCATTGCATGATGAATCCTTATATGCTGCTATCAGTAACCTAATAGCAAATGACACACTACCAATAAAAAACAAAAAGGACATGTACTGAAGATGAAAACAATAGCAATACTACCCAAAAGAGAATTCAGAAGAATTAGATAAATTTAAACCAAAAGTAGTATTTATTTAGACGATATCGCTTTAAGACTTAGTATTTAGACTAACGTTATTACAAAGTTGCAAACATTTATTTTAGGGACAATTATAATCAATCTCTCATATATTATCTTGCATTTATATACTTTAAATTACCGATTTAAATAAACAAATTCAACATTTATTTACCTATGCATGAACATCTCCTATATAATATTGCATTAATATAATTTGAAATACTTATTTAAAAATAATTATTGGGCATTATACCATTCGCGCAAAGCGCGTAAAAAAACTAGTAATAATAATAAAGTTCAAAAAGATAACTCTAAACCAAACATGATTATATTACATACCTCAATTTTAACCAAACATAGGAATCTAACATTCTTAGCAATCTAATATTTCCTAGAGTATTCCCATCTCTTTAAATTTTGTGTGGCAAAAGGTTGAATGGTTCACTCCAGATTAATTTTGGTGACTTAATTGATCAATCGAGGTTAGATTTTTGATTAATCACGGATAAGACTCGATTCTTGATATTTTGTAACAAATTTTATCTATGTGACCAATTGAGATGCACATGAAAATTATGTTATAAATTTTTTGTCAAGCCAAGTGGGAGGGGAAAAAGTGTGCTGATAAAAAAAAAAAAATCAAAAACTATTAAACAGTCATCAACACTGTTCTTTTCTTCTTCTTTTTTTTTTTTCTTCATGTGAGACCCACATAAAAATTTTTATTTGTAAGACATACTCAAACAATCTCTCAACTATTGATGATGCTTTTATACTATAGAAAATATCATAATATATATTTATTTATTTTTAATAATTGTAAGATATTTTTTGTATATGGTTTATTTTGACTTGTAATACACTGAAAATAAAAATGTATCAAAATATAATAAACTTACTAAAAAGGAATTATAATACAATAAACTTTAACATTACACTCAAAATAGAAATACAATATATTAAAAATAAACATGTATTAAAGTCCACCTTACAATATGAACTCAATTGCACAATATAAATTTGCAATCAAATTAAAACATTAATATTGTTTTGTATAACCTATCATCAGTCCATGAACCTGACTCTCGATGTTTGTAGTAAATATCAAACACTCACCATGTTGGTAGACGCAAATATTAAGTGTTAATAAGTAATGCTACACAAAAATATGAATATTAGGAGGTATATATGTGTGTCATTCTTGATAACATGTCTAATTGTAAATTTTTGTAGAGAAATATAGTATGACTTTATATATATATATATATATATATATATATATATATATATATACTCCGTATACAATTAAGAGAAATAAATTTTTTCGTCATTAAATTATTGTGAAATAGCTTTTTTTTTTTTGTCTATCAATTATACTAGGCCACCATCACTTTTTGTTATTTAATTATTTAAGAAATCAATTTATAAGCAACTAAAAGATTAAAAAATATAATGATAGTATAACTAAATGCTATTTGGTTTGCCAAGCACCTTATGCTCAAATGGCACCTCTGTGACTCTCCCGGAGGGAAAGTCACAGGATTGAACGCTGGTGAACTCCGGTGACGGGGTATTGACTCTTTGTGACCCTCCCTAAGAGAAAGTCACAGGATTGAATCCCGGTGAACTCCGGTGGTGGGGTATTGACTCTTTGTGCTGCATCAGTTAAAGAAAGTATAAAATAGATACTAACTTGTAATACCAGGACTATGTGGTCTAATGGTACCTGGGTTTGACTTCTATTTAGAAGATTATATGAGTTCGAGCCTCAATAGAGGCGTTTTTGGTTCTTTGAGTCAACAGATTCAAAAAAAAAAAAAAAAAAAAAAAAGCTATTTGAATTTTTTTAATAGGGAAAATAGCACATTTTCCCCCTCAATTATTTAGGTAAGCACATTAGTCCCCTCAATTATTCTAAAAGTGGTGGTTTTTCCCCCTAATATATTAAATTGACATCTCTACCCTTAAAGTAAATATTTTATTTATTTTACTTCTCCAACAAATTATTGCGTATACGTAGGGATGACCACGGTTCGGTTCGAACTGAACCGGACACTAAAGCAATCGAATTAAAAATTTTCGGTTATGATTCAGATCTATAACCCAACATTTGGATTTCAATTTACTAAAATTATGAATCAAACAAATTGGATCCTGAACGGCTGAACCGTGAACCGGGGGTTCCAGATCCGGTTCGCGATTTTGAACCGTCTTTATTTTAAATTTTTGTTTTTTATTTTAAAATAGTCTAAATTCAACAATAAATGTATTTTATAGTTTCAGTTCGGAACATGAACCGTTCGTTCTGGTTCGCGATTTTAATAAACTTTAAATATCGGGTTTCGATTCTAAATTGTAATTGGAATATTTCGGTTTGGTTGCTATAGTGTTTGTTTGGTTTGAATCAAATTATGGTCATAATTTGTTGGAGAAGAAAAATAAATAAAATATTTATTTTAAGGGTAAATATGTCCATTTAACATTTCAGGGGAAAAAATAGCCACTTAAATAATTGATGGGAAAAAGTGCTATAGGTATATAACTCAGGGGAAAAAGTGTCATTTTCCCTTTTTAATATATAAACAAAATGCTATTTACTTTTAAAAAAACATTTTCTCTAATTTTATACAATGAAAGTAAAAGCTATAATTAAGTATCGCATGCCACGTTGTAGAATCAACCCCAATCTGGTGAATCGCCGCCCGTAATCTGCATTCTGCCATTAACGCCCGTGCTTGCTCACACTAGCGAACAATCAACCCCAATAGCCTCGAATTGAAATTTCCTCTCCTTTATCTCTTCCGATTCGCTCACTGTTCACAATTGCAGTGATGAAAGGTTTGGGAAGGCTGATATCGCAAGCCGCTCGTTGCCGGAGCAACACTCGGCTGCTCAAATCCTACGCGGCGGAGGGCGGAGGTCTCCGAGCTTATTGCCGCCTTCTATTCGCTTCTTCTCCTTCCAAAGTGCCCCCTGCTTTCTCCAATTTCGCTTCGTTGAAATCCTCACATCTTCCTTCGTCACCGTACTCACCTACATGGGCTACTATTGGAGGTCAGTTTTAGAATATGTATAGGAAATTGTGTTCAGGTTTTGAAAAAATAAAAATAAAATTCCGAAGTTTGAATATGAAGATGAAGAATTTAGTGATTCAGGGCTTGGTTAACTGCAGGGAATTCATGTTTTCTGGGAACCCTAAGTTTTATTCATTTTGAAGTACAATATTCAGAGTAAAAAAAATTGACCAAAATCAGTTTCCATTGTAAATTTCTGTTATAGAAACTAGTAACTCGGAAATATTCTTTCCGATTATGTATGGTTTTATCCTTTTACTTTTTCCCGTGAAAAGTTTTATACTGTCATTGTTGAGCTGGGAACTATATTCTTTAGGCGTGCATGGAACAATGATATTTGAAGTAAAATTATAAGTTTTGAACTATTATATCCTAAACTTAAGATAATGCTTTTGTGCCTGTATATTAATCTTACTGCTTGGACAGGGCAGAGGAGGACCATGTTCATACAAACACAATCAACTCCTAATCCTTTATCACTGATGTTCTATCCCGGAAAGCCAGTTATGGAGACTGGAAGTGCAGATTTTCCAAATGCTCGTTCTGCAATGAATTCACCACTTGCTAAGGCCCTCTTTGGAATTGATGGTTAGCTTGTTCTCTGCGTATGTCTAGCTTTAGCTGCAATCTTATAGGCATTTCATTATTAACATAATCAGATCTTTTTTCGGCTCTTCTTATTGTTGGGCTTGTGATATGATCAGAGTCTTTCATCACTTTAAGTTATTTTCCTGGAAACAGTTGACATTAAGCTATCATGCTTGTGTTGCTCTGTAACCAAATAGATAAATGTAACTATGTGAGCTATGAATTAGACTAGTTACTTTTAGTTTGTAGTGAAGAACTAGATTTAGTGTAAGGATGAACATTATAGATTGATGAATTTATGCTGGAGCTTCTTAAACCATCCAAAAAATGGGGGGTGGGGGTTCTAAATTTGACATTGTTTTGTATGTCGTAAACATTTTAGTAGATGCATCCACTTTGTAAAAATTTCAGTAGATATATCCACCCCTAACATTAAGATGACCTTACTAGACATCTAATTCTACGTGATACTATTGATCTATATCTATGTTTTAATGTTGGGAGGTTGGGTTGTTGGTGGTGCATTTATATACATGTCTCCGACACCGCAACAGTAGAATCAATAGGATGAGTTGACATGGATATGCTTTTAGTCTGCTCAGCCTCTACAAACAGTAGAATACAAGGATGCCTAAATAAAAAGGAATAACATCAGGTGAAATGAGGTTGTAATCTTCAACATAAAACTTAACTAGTGGACCTTTTTATTATAGTGCTGCAGTTTCTGTTACTAATCAATATTTTTGTTTCCAATTACAATTTAGTTGATGTATTCTATTTCAGATATTATGAGTGTTGAAACTTAGAAACAGTAGACTGCTTTAGTTTGGTTTTTATTAGTCTGATGAATTTTGCCATCTGAATCTACTATTTTTTCATTCCGATGGTTAATATTGCTTGGGTAAATGAATTTGTGAATGTCATTTACTTTTTCCCCACTGTTAGTAAAAATGTAAATGAATTTGCCCCACGAACTAAACTCCTGACACCTATTTCTTAATGGTACACTATGCACTTTGTTCTATCCCTGATCTTACATTTGTGAAACAAAAGCTACTTAAATTGTCGTCAATGAATTTGTTGACAATTTTCCTCATCATGCAGGGATTACTCGGGTATTTTTTGGATCAGACTTTGTAACCGTGACGAAGTCTGATGATGCATCCTGGGACTTGCTCAAACCTGAAATTTTTGCAGCAATCATGGATTTCTTTTCATCTGGGAAGCCGCTGTTTCTGGATTCCAACACTGCAGCCTCCATGGACACAGCTATCCAAGAAGACGATTCAGAGACGGTTGCGATGATTAAGGAACTTCTGGAGACACGCATACGACCAGCTGTACAAGATGATGGCGGGGACATTGAATACAGAGGATTTGATGCAGAAACCGGAATAGTCAAATTGAGGATGCAAGGAGCATGCAGCGGATGCCCTAGCTCCTCTGTCACCCTGAAATCTGGCATCGAAAACATGCTGATGCACTATGTACCCGAAGTTAAAAGCGTGGAGCAGGAATTTTATGAAGATGAAGACCCATCCCTAACCGGAGCCCCACACGAGTAAATTCTCTCATTTTAGGTGCATCAATTTTGCATCCACCAGAGATAGAATTTTTCTCCCTTGTGGAGTAATACTTGCAGGTTGCTATGACATGCTTTCATAAATTTTGTTAACAATAATAGTTTGGCAGGGGATACCTACTTTGTTTTGAGGATAACAAGTCCCATTTTCTTATGAGGAACGTTGTGAATTTCACGTCTGAAGAACATTATGAGTTTTACGTTTGAAGAACATTATAAGTTTCACGTCTGAAGAACGTTATGAGTTTATAAATTTGTTTCATTTATCAAAACATGAGTTACTTTGTGATAGAGTATATCTAAGGAATAGGATGAAGAAAGAAGAAATTTGTCATTCTAACATTATTATAGAAGCAACATTAATATGTTCTTGATTGATCATACAATGAGCAACAGGAATATATAATCCAAGCCCCAGACCACTAACCAACCAACTACAGCATAAATCCACATGTTGAATCACAACCGTTGAGCCGAGCGGGGCCAGCTACGATCAACCATTCAACCTACCATCTGAGCCCAGAATTATCATTATCATTCAATCATTAAATCATAACCGTAAACTTTCTCCCCTGTGATCGAATCGGACGGCTCAGATCTTGTCCAGCTTCTCAGCCTTGACAAGTGGGTTGGCCTTGGCAATGGCTTCCCTCCCCATGGCCTTGTAATCAAACGTGCAGCCATGCTGTTCCGGGTACCTGTGGGTCCCGCAGTAGATGACCCCACACCTACATTTGAACCCCGTCAGCCCGACACGCTTCCGGCACGTGCCGCACCTGTTGGGTCTGGGTGGAGGCGCCGCCGCCGCCGGCATGGCCTCCTCAGATCCAACCTCCTCCTGGCGTGACGAACCGTCGCAGGCCGCCACCGCCGCCGCCGCCGAAGACGAAGACGAGTAGGAGGAAGAAGAAGATTCCGATGAGTTTCTCCCCTTGAGAGATCCTTCCATCGCGAGGTGCGCCTCCTTCATTTGCTGTTCCTTAATGCAGTGATCCTTGTAGCATTTGGAACACAGGTTCAGAGTCGTGCTGCTGCCGAAGAATCCACAGTTGTTCGCGCAGAGACTATGGCCTCCTGCCTTCTGACATTTTTGTTCCTCGGCCATTATTCGCTTCGAAAACAAATCGGATAGAAAAATATATAACAAATGTTGCGAGAGCGGTTGACTGAGTTTATAACAAATCAAATCAATCGCTCAACGCAAGGAGAAGATCGCAACCTGCACGCGGATTCATCAAAAAAAAAACAAATCAATTCAATACAATAACGAACAGAAAAATAATGTTGAAAATTAAAGCATTGGCCTGGTATTGATCGAATTGGGATGAGAAAGCTAAGGGAAGGGAAGGGAATACTTACGTGAAGAATCTGAGAGACGAGAGGAGAAGGGGTAATGATTCTTGGCCGGGGAAGAATGTGAAGAAAAGGCGGAGAGATGAAGAAAGGAGATGGAGAAATGCAAGGAGAATTGATGGTGATCGAGAATTGATGGCTATAATATTGGTGTGTTAGGATTTATGGAGATGCAAAAAGCCTCAACAAAAGTATGCTTTTTTTGTGATTTCAACTTTGGGTAACTTGTTTTTGCCGTTTTAGAACGATTCTTTTATTATTTTATTTTATTTATTTACTTTTATTATTACGGAGTATTATTTAGTGGCCGGTTTAATGTATTAAAATACATAAAATAAAATACAATAATAACACATTAAAATATTAAGTTTACATTTATTAAACGGATCAAATTATAAAATATTATTTTTTTAGTAATCAATCAATCATATATTAATACTAGTATAATATTAGTATTACACAATTGAATAAACACCCAATAAGAGAAAAAAACAAATAATAAAATTATAAATAAAAGGAAATAAACAATAATTAGTACATCATCAACAAAAAAATATATATATCAAATCGAAAACAACTTGTAAGTGTACAAAACTATAAACACAATGTACAAGTCAAAAATGAAACGTATTATACTAATACATTTTTTTTATCCTTGATGATAAAAACTTTCTAACATTGGTCTTTGTTTAATTTTTGTAAACAAATTATTTATTTCATCTATATCCTATTCAAAGCTTATTTACATAACTAGCATTTTGTACGCGATGTACGAAAACTTATGCCCAATATTAAAATATTGTTAAGTAACAAAATTTAAAAAATTAGTTAAAATTATATTTCACATTTCCTTAAAGTTATGATACTTTTGAATTATCATATATTTGAATATAGTGATTAAAACAATATATATATATATATATATATATATATATATATATATATTAATAGTAATAATAATTTACAAATAATACTAAGCTAACATCCACATATATGATATATTGATATGTATACACAAATAATATATATACATATTATTTATAATTAAAATTTAATATTCATATAAATATTTAATTAAAATATAATTTATAATTAAATTAATTGTTATATGATAATTTTAATAAAATGATAACTAAAAATAAGAAAAAGATACGATAGATGTAGGTGTATGGTAAGATTGGTGGACATATTAAATACTAACGGTGTTATAACGGTGTAAGGGTAATTTTGTCCATTACAAATCAAATGTACAACAATTAAAGCAAGATGTATATATTTTTTAGCATATAAAAAAAGGACAAAAATCAAAGACATAACTTGTATTGACACAACTTGTATTGACACTTATTATGTTTTTAGATTATATATTTTTCATGTCTGTTGAGTCATTAAGTTACCGTGATTTGTATCATCTCAAATATTATGTCAGGTCGGAACGTGGTGCTTTTATGATTGGGGATTCCACCTTTTGAGAGAAGAAGTAAAGAACTAAAGTATAAACATGATGCAGCATGTAATAAACAAGATTATGGATGGTGAGATTCTTCTGGTCGGAATGAAGAGTCGTTGAAGTTACGTTAAGGAGCAGAGGATTGCATTTCTTTCATGCTACGTTTTTGTTGAAACCATTGTATATTTGCCGGTTCATCAACACGGAAAACCAATTAATAATAGCCGTTTTTTCAACATTTTTTTAGTATTATATTTGTTTTCCCATTAACAATAGTCAATAGTGGCTGGCTGATGAAACAATCATCTTTGTATGTACGTTGTTGTTACGTTGTTGAGTCGTAGCAGAAGTTAAGGAATGTTTCTTAGCGTGTTATTTCCAAGAAACATGAAATCGGAAACCTACGGGTTAGAATCAAAACCGAGCTGCAGTCATCTCTTAAAATTATTTCTTTTCATTTTGTTACATTTAGGAACCCCAACCCTAAGGCCCCCCACACCCCGACCCGACAGAACTTTTGGGAGGATGTAAATCATGGTAACTCAATTGAACATGAACTACAGAGGCTAGACCGTGCTCACTGTGCACAAGGAACCCCCCTCACTTTGAGAGGTTGCTCCCGCACTGCCACTGGTGAAACTCGATCCCTGGTCATTCTTCCAAAGTTTTACCTATGTGACCAGTTGAGCTGCCCATGCGGGTCTAATTCCCTATTTCATGTTTCAAGGAATCGAGATAAAAACTTTGTGAGGGTGTAAACGAGTCGAGCATGGTTTGGCTCGAGCTCGATAAGCATGGTTCGGCTCGAGCTCGAAAAATGATGTTTGGCTCAGCAATTTTTCGAGCCGCTTAAGCTCAGTTCGAGCAGCTCGATTGTTCGAGCTTGGACTCGATTTTGACCTATTTGAATTCATATTTTAATTAATAATAAACATAGTTTTATCCATGCATAAATAATAAAAACTTTTTAAAAAATAAAAGTCCAAACTTCAATGTTTAAAGACTCCAAACACTCAAAACGAGTTTACAAATTCACTTTAATTAAGAGGTCAATAGTAGTCATTGATCCTTACCATATATATAATATTTATCTATTCCAACAATGGTCATCCGACTATATTAATTTTCCAAAATTAGTCCTCGACTTTTAATTTGGACACTTTAGGTCCCTTGACTTTCAATTTCTTTCCAATTGAGGTCCTTTCGTCAAAATACGGTTAATTGGACTTTAAATGAAGGGGTAAACTTGTCATTCACATGCCTATGTATTATTCTTCATATTTCTCCCTTCGTATTACACTATTATACCTTGTAAACATCTCAATAATGGAGGAACACACACACTAACAGTCAGCAAATGGGGAATGACGAGGAACATTCTAGGGCTTCGACTGAGATTATCTTCATATATATCGCATATATAAGGGAAAAATACGAAGAATAATATATATGCAGGTGAAATTATGAGTTTTCCTCTTTATTTGAAGTTCAATTAACTGTATTATGACGAAATGACCTCAATTGGAAAGAAATTGAAAGTCCAGGGACCTAAAGTGTCCAAATTAAAGTCGGAGACTAATTTTGGAAAATCAATATACTCGGATGACCATTGCTGGAATAAACTTATTTATTTAATTATGGCTCGCAAGCGGCTCGACGAGCCACGAGCTTAGAATATTGGGCACCTATTTTGTGCACTAATATAAAGTATTAATATTGAGCACCTATTTTGTGCACCGCGCATAAAAAATACTAGTATATATATACACACACGAGATGATTCACGTGTGAAGAGTCTTTCATATGAAATATGAGGTAAGAGCTGTTGATATAATTTAGATCAACGACTCAAATAAAAAAAAATTATAAAGAAAAAAAAAACACGCTTCATGAGAGCTGGATGCATTCTCCTCATACCATTCTTGAATTGATGCACCTTAAGTTTCAAATTGTCGCACCTTAAGTGTCGTATTGACGCACCTTAAGGGCATCCTCAATAGTGAGGATTTTGATGTGGTTTTTGAGGAGTTTTTGTAAGTGTGATTAGGAAAGATAAGACGTGATAGAAGAGAAAAAAGAAAGAAAAAAAACAATAAAAGCTTATTTAAAAAAAAAAAAAAAACAAAGTGGACGCCACAGTGAAGCAACACACAAGAGAGATAACGAGAGAAATTAGCAAAGTGGGCCCACATTTCTGACATAATCCTTGTTTTTGCAGGGAAAAAATGCAGTCCAAATTTTGCCTTCCCATTTGTTAAAAACTAACCCATGTGCATTTACTTTTATAACATTAGGGAATGAACCCCCTATTGTGGAATCAAGTATTAAATTGATGCACCTTAAGGGGTCGTTTGGTTCATGGAATGTTAGATTACCTTAGGGAATGTTAGATTGCTGGGAAGGTTAGATTACTGGGAATGTTAGATCCTGTGTTTGGTTAAAATTGAGGTATGTAATATAATCATGTTTGATTTAGGGCTATCTTTTATACACACTATAATATCCTTAACATATTTTCATGTATTTTAATAAATTTAAAAATTAAAATAAATAAATAAGATAACTGTATCATATATAATTACCTGATTTTTAAAGATTAATTAAAATCTTGAACTTGAGAAACAAAATTATTTTATATGCTAACATAACATAATAAAAATAAAAAATATATAATTACAAAAATAATTATATATATATATATATATATATATATATATATATATAAAAACTTACATAACCTAATAAATTGAAGGGTATTACATTCCCTTCAAAATTCTATGTGGAGGGAATGTGACATTCCTTGGGAATGTTATATTCCCTAAGATAATATGAACGAAACATGGGAATGTGAGCTTTGGAATGTCAGATTCCCTTGGTTATGTTATATAACCTGAAACAAACGTCCCCTAAAATGTCAAACTAATGCACCATAAGTATCAAACTAACGCACTTTAAATGTTCGATTAGCACACATTAAGTGTTAAAATGACATACTTAAGTGTTAAAATAACGCACTTTAAGTATTAAAAGGATATATTTTAATTGTTAAAATAATGCACCTTAAATATATAACTTATGCATCTTAAGTGTAAAATTGACGTATTTTAAACATCAAACGAACACATATTAAGTATAGAATTGACATATCTTAAGATTAATGCGCCTTAAGGTTCAAAGTAACTTACTATAATAAAATTTGGATTAAGATACTACTCCGTATTTAATAAACAAAAATCCGGTCCACTCCCATCCTGGAAAATCATATTTTGGCCTTTCCTTACTACAATCCACAAACCCCATTTTCTATCTACTTCTCGAAACCCTAATCGCTCTCCCCCTCTCTCTCTAAGCTTACGCTTTCTCTATTTCTTCCTACGAAACTATGCGATTTTCTCAAATCTACGTCGAATTTCAGCTCGCTTTGATGAGCGTCCGCTGGGGGTTTTCTTAGTACATCAATTTTCATATTTTTTTTCTGTTCGGAGGTGAAACTTGAAGAGCATGGAGGGGTCCGTCTCTGCGGCGGAGGATCTTGGAGCTCCGCCGGAGACATGGGAGGTGGCTGACCTGGACGCCAGCGTGCGCCGCCTGATGCTTTCTTCTTCCAACGACTCTAATGCTCAATGTGACCTCGCCGATTCTTCTTCGGCTTCAGCTCCGAATTCGGAGTCTGCGTCGAGTAGCTCAGCTCCTGCTTCGGGTGTTCCCGAAGATATCGTCAATTCCGTTGATCAGTTTCTCCGGGAGGCTTTGCAAAACCCTCGGGAGCGCCTTTCTGGTCTTTTTTTCTTCCTTAATCTAGTTTCTGAGTTTCTCCATTCGATTTGCCAATTTTCTTCTTCACTGCTTTGCTTGGTCTGTGCATATGACTAGATAGGAATTTGTGTGCATTAGTTTATTTATTTTATCTGCATTCGTCGTATTAGTACTTTAGCTAGGTGTGCCTGCTGTCCGATTGACTATAGTAGAAACTTTTAGTTTGGATGGTGTAACATGAGTTCGACACTTCAACATTATTGTTATGGTCATTCAAATTGATTTGTATCAGCTTTTAAAGCTGTATAAATGAGTGACAAGTAGTTTTGCATTTAGTTTCAGCTTATATTCAATACTTACTTAATTGGCCTGGTGAGATTATAGATTAAACAATTTATTTGTATATGTTTGACAAATATTATGGATTATATGACTCCTTTTAGCTTTTTTAATCCAATAATCTATAATAGGATTAGACTATGGATTATTGTTTATTGACAATCAATAATCATGAACTATATTCTTAAACATTACCAACTGGTAACTTAATGTAGTGAGGGGATTGTGAGAAGCTTGAAATATGAAGGTACTCGAAATTTTAATTTCCTGTTGCCTATGATCTAAGTAGTGAATTGGTTGTGTTGGACATGAATTGCAACAGAAAGATGGAACAAGCAAGCAATTATCAAATATGTGGTGAAGACCAAGGCACTTGGGGTGGGTAGAAGAAATGAGTCTACATTGAGTGGAAGGAACATCTATGACATATCTGAAACCTAGAGTAGATAGCCAATAAACAAACTTTTTCTTCTCTACAAGAAAATTGCCTACCCTGTGATCCTTGTCTAATGCATCAAGTTTTGTGTAAGAGCAGGACAAGGATGGGAAATACCGAAATAGTGGTAGGTAGGTCTGTTATCAAAAAAGAAAAAGCAGAACTACAGAAGGTATCAAGGTAGTCAGTGATGTGATGGGTTCTCTATCCCCTTTTTTTTTGGTAGATCGGTAGATTGGGGGTTTCCCTTCTTCGCTGCTTCAGTGCTTTTAATTGAGTGTCTACCGATACAAAAAGTGATAGAAAGGAAAATAGCTAACAGTTACTTATGGAGCAAGGTTGTGGTGGTCTTGTGTGCCTGCGCTGACACTGGAGTCTAAACAGTCTTTAAATTCCTTTTTCATAATTTTAAAATTGTTCTAACTTGTATTTATTTTTATTCATATAACAAAGAAAATCAAAATAATGGTGGGGTTGGGGATTTTATGTGCTTGATTTACTCATCTCTCACAGATAGTGACTTGTGTTTCATTTTTCCTTCCAGTTCTAAGAATGGAGCAGGATGTTGAAAAGTTCATCAAGGATCCAACTCAGCAACAGATGGAGTTCCAACAACTTCCTACCTCGTACTTGCGATTGGCAGCTCATCGTGTAGCACAGCACTACTCACTGCAGTCAACGGTCTTAGTGGACAGTAGTGTGCCAGATGGTTCTGCTTCAAGAATTATTGTACGCAAAACTTCTGAATGTCGGATGCCTTCAATTCGGCTGGCTGATATTCCAGTAACTTTTCCCCAGGATGACACAGGTGCTATCAAGGTTGCTATTAAACAGAGACCTCAGAAAAGTTCTCAGGCTGCTAGCGGTTCTGGTTCACATTCTCTAAAGAATAGGACTCCAAAAAGTGTGGAGGAAAGAAAGGAGGAGTACAACCGGGCTCGAGCACGGATTTTTAACTCTAATAATTTAGGCAGGGATGCTAATGAAAAACCTGAAAATGAAACAAGAAGGCTGGACACTTTCCAGCATATTTCATTAGGAATGTCAGGGATAGAAGACAAAACCAATTTGACAGGGGGTTCTGATGTGAATATTGGCAGGGGTTCCCTTGATTTATCACTTGGTAGCGGTAGGTCAGTTAGAGGTAGATCTGACATGGAGCCGATCAGTAGAACCAAAACTGGTAATAGGGTGGCCATATTCAGGGATCGGGAAATTGATCTCAAGGATCCTGATTACGACAGGAGTTATGACAGGTATGATTTCATTGCCTCCTCTTCCTCCTGGCTTATAGTAGGAGAAACATGAAGTATTGTTCCTCCCTTTGCCTCTCCTTTTACCACCATGTTATGTATCAGTAGATCTCTTGTTGTTAGATTAATGCTTCCTTGAATCACATAATAGTTTGTTCTATCTGCTTATGACCTGCTGGGCTTGATGAGTTTTTGTATTTTTCTTTAAGTGCCAATATGGGTATTTAGATTGTCCTGAGGCTTTAGATTCATGCATACCCTTTTATTGCCACTTGACTGGGATGTTTGTTGCATCTGTATAATTATATGAAGATATGTACTTGGTATTGTTTCCTCAATCTTACCCTTTGCACTATCTTTCCTCATTAATGAGTGTCTGCTGATTTACTCTTATGCAATTCTGAGTTATCATTTCTGAATCTGGCATTCATTTTCATACTGAGTTCTTACATCTTTGTAATCCTGGAATGTTTATATATAGTGATGTTAATTTATATCAAATGTGGCAGATATATTCAGAGATTCGATCCTGGATTTGGGTTTTCTGGAGGACCATATGGTATTCAACCCATGTATGCCCCTGCTTTGAACTACAACACTGAGTTTCCACAACTTGGATCAGCACATCGACCTGTTATCTCCACTGAGCACCCATCTCACCAACTTCCCCAACACTTACCTGGGCAATGGGCTACTCCATCAACTCCTGGCATTGGTTATGTTCCAACGGAGACCATGATTCCTCCATTTGGTCCCAATCATGTTGTCATGCATTCAAACTCTGCTTTATACTTGCACTCAGCTCAGTATCCACGCCAGCACCCTGGAATGCCCTTCATCCATCATCATGAACAAGTTCAAGGTCACCCATCCTTTTCACAGGTTTGTCATATTTTAGTTTTGAGAACAAAATTCTTCACACAGGGTAAAGGAAAGAAACAAAGAAGATGAAATGTGTGAGATGTGTCATCTTTTTTGTACTTGTGATGTTGTTATTTGGCTAGCACTGGTTCTGGTGTGTATAGAGAGTTAAAAGATGAGGACAGAATCAGTTCTTTTCACAATACATTAATCAGTTTTAATGTGTTGATCTGTAACTGGTTCACTGATGTGTTTATGTTTGCACATTTCAGTCACATGCTCTTCATTTTGGTGGGTTGAAGAATATTACCCACCATGGATATGCACATCCCATTTCTAACAAGCTTCATTAGCTAATATGAAGTTTGAGTTTTTTTATTGTTGCTCAGCTTGCTTTTTTCCCCTCTTTTGCAGTCTCATCAGCAGCTTCTGGAGCGAAGTTTTGGATTGGCCCGGCCCCAATAAGGGGCGTAGGCCATGCCTGCATCCTGCCATATTTCGAGGGAGCTGGTAGTGGAGCAGCACGTTAATTGCAAATTTGCAATTCGCAGGATGTAGGCATATGCAGCCGAGGGCTTGTTGGACTGGATACGCAAACTTTGCAACTATTCTCTTCTGTCCACTCTTCATGGACCTTGGCTTTATTGAGCTCCTGAATTTGAGGAAGCTCTTACTTCCTGAGAGTTCCATTGTTAACAATACTCCTGGAGCCCTGATTGCAATCAATAGAGATGATGATGACAATTGAAGGAACAAGAAGTTAGAGCTGTAAACGCAGGCTTGTTCTTTGTTGGTTGATGGTAATCCCAGTGCCTTTATTTTCTAGACCAGTTTGATTCTTATACATCCTTCGTGTAATTAATTTATTGCCGCACTCTTATACAGTACGTCTGACATGATGCCTTAAGTTGATAATGCTCCACCAAAGTAAAGCATGGAAGAAATATGCAGTTTGTTGAGGGACATGTGAAAAAGCAGCAGGCAGACAGGTAGAGCTGTGAGAGCTTTAGGGCTCTGCCGAGTGATGACTATGATTGTAGGAAACCCTGGTTGCCTAATGATTTCTCTGTACATGAAATTGAACACATTGAAATATTCATCTATCATTTGCGTCCTCCAATTCCTGTTATCACAAACTGCATTTTTTTTTGCCCCAAATTTTAGTCGATTCTCTGCAATGCTACCTTTATTTGCAAAGTACTAATATTGACCGTTGGACAAACTTCCCTAAGAATTTATTTGAGTTAATCTTCAAAATGGTCATTGATTATAGTGGTTTTTTTCAATTTTGTCTTAAATGACTTTGGTGACTTAATGACTTTGGTGACTTAATGTAGTCCTAGACTTTTATATTTTTGTTAAATTTAGTCTTTTGTTTGTTATTGAACAAAAACACAAAAGTATAACACTACATTAGGTCACCAGAGTCATTTAAAGCGAAATTAAGAAAAATCATTATAGTCAATGATCATTTTGGGTATTAATTCGAATTTATTCAAATCACTTACTATAAGCTCAGGAGTACTAGTTTAGTCCTCCAAACTGTTGCTTTAAAGCATATAACCTAAAAATGCAACATCCACCTAAATCACTATTTACTCACAAGTCACAACTTAAAAACACTAAAATTGCAATGGTATTGTGCTGCATATACTATGATATTCAATCAAAGTAAACATCTTTATCAATTCTCTGCTGCTGCTCCCTTGATGTCTAGTATTCTAATTTTTAATTTAAAAATATAATGTTTTCAGCATGTATCAACAAGTTTACAAAATATGGTCCTTTCTTCTTCAAGCACTTGCCTTGTCGATTTTTGTCATTCAGGACTTGAGCACTTTAGCATGGACAAAGAAAGCCTTGATCTGTATTGGTGAAAATATCAGGTTATTCACGAAAAAAGAGGCTAGCAAAACAGCTCAATGCTTCAACCAGGAAAACCACACTTCACTGTCTGAGCTGAAACAGAAGCTAGAAGCAGCTAAGTTGAACTGTGGAAACCATGTCTCCAATTCTGTCACCAACCAAATGAAATCTGGGAGACCTGACACAAAGGAACATGACTAAAATTCCAATGCAATTTTCTACCTTAATAGAAATTCTTTTTTAATCTTCTTGATAACTAAAAAACAAAATATCATCCGTAATTTTCATCTTCCACTATTTATTTTAATTATGGGGATAAGGTCACAAAATCAATCCAAATGAGATCTTTACACCACATCAGCAGATATGAAGTTGTGAAAACCAATTCTTTGCTCACCTATCAGCAGTCCACATTCAGCTTCCTGTCAACACTTGAGAAAGTCTGATAAAATGCCTTGAAGTGCTTGTATGCAATATCAATATCTTCCTTTCCACATATCTCTCTCACACTGCAACTCAAAAACAATCAGGTAGTGTTGAGAATTATTCAAACTAGAGAATATAGCTTGAAGTAAGCAGTAAACTTGAAGTAAAGCACCAAAAACCTAAATGGCATATTCTTTTCTGATGACAGAGTACAGTCTCGCCAATTTATTTCATCAGTGATTACAGAATTATGTAACTATGCCATTTTTTTTGTTCCTCAGCAGAGTGTCGATCCTCCAAAGGAAGTGCATGATTCTCTAACCACTCAAATACAGGTGGACACAAGCAAAATATACTTCAGATTCCTAATATAGTAAGCAATAAATATGGTACCTGTGCATGGATAACTGAGCAATGCCACAATCAACTGTGCGAATACCAACCCCTGAAGCAAGTATGGGACCTATAGTCGATCCACATCCCATATCATTTCTAACCACAAAATCCTGCGTTGCATAAAATCTAAGTTTGTTATTGTCAATATAACAATTATTAATGTTTGAAGAAGAAACATAGTTGCAAATAAACGAGAAAATCTGTAATGAACAAGTTTACTCAAGATATTATGAGTTCAAACTCAAATCCTTGCCCCCAAGCCAGATCCTAAAACAATTATGGAGTACAATCAAAGTTGGCTGATGGGAAACACTAAATTACTTCCAATCACCTGAGTCGGAAGGTTGTGGATTCTTGCAACTTCTTTGAAAAGAAAAGATGTAACTCCACTTGTCGCATAGCGCTGACTTGCATTGTGCTTGATAACAAGCCCTTTCTGCAACTCTGGGCGGTGGTGCTCTTCATGCTTGTCAGTAAAATTTGGGTGAACTCCATGAGCCATGTCCGCAGACACTATAAGAAAATAATTCAACATGAAGCTGTCTTTTCAGTTTCACAGAAAATAGGGATGACAGACTCATGCAATCTGCCCATCAACCTCTCTCTTCCAAAAGTTGTGTTAGAGCTGACCTCTAGGGATCACAGACAAAAATCCTATGCATGGACAAATGTTCAACCTTGCCAGTTTCTATGTATAAATGCAGAATTATGAATACATGAAGTGCATAGTGGCATTTACATGTCAATTATGCACTGTACACAAAATTGGTAGAGTTTTAATGTTTTTGAACAAATAGAAATACTTGATTGTACATCCCAAATTATTTGCAGAATTACTTCTCCAAAATACCATGTTTTTCCGCACTTGCATCTTTATCTGATCCATGATATATTCACCGTTTATGTACTATATTATATGATGCATGAGGAATGTAATGTAATTAGCTTATTCTTTCCTTTGATACACTTGTTATTTCACTTCAGAGAACTGGACCAGCAGCAGTAGCTTTAATAGTATATTAAAGAAAAATATATGTACTCTGCAACTAAAAGCAGCTTGCTATCATTACAAGTTTACAACAGTTCTTTGTTCCACCAATCAAAAAGCTTAGATATATCAATGCAACTAAAACAAACTAAGACCTACCAAGGAAGGAATGGCGGATCGAACGTGCAAAAATTGATTCTCCAACAGATTGATGACCTAAGCAATAGGTAATACGTCTGATGGCCTCAAACATAGTTGGCGCTCCAGCTCCTTGATATGAATCTGAACCAACCTGTAGTATAATGCAGTTGGGGCATACAAGGCATTGAAGTAGAGAACACAATTTATGCTAGGTGTCAGAGAACACACAAAGAATGATGTTTACATAAGATATGTCTTCACAGTAGTATATATAACATGTTGTCATGTTGAGAGGAGCTTGAACTTTGAAATAGACTTGCCTCTTCATTATCAAAAAGAGCTATCATTCGGATTGCATCCTCATTCACTAAATCTTCAGGTGAGGAGCATGAATCTACAAGAGCCCTCAATGAGCAAAAACTTGATGCAAGGTTATCCAATCTTCCAGAAAATATGAACTCATTATTGGCACCTCCAAGGCAACTAGGTTGGGTATCACAAATATTTAACTCAATACTAGCTATATCACCAACCTTGCAGCCCAATTCATCAGACAAGATCTGAAACAGGCAATTAGAAAGAGTAAGAAAGAAAATCTGATAATCACAAATGCTTTAAATGCAGAAACTCATTCTATCACAATCATTCCTTATTCTGAATCAAACAGGAAATACTCTAGATGGATTGGATTAAGTAATGCAGTTAAACAAAGACTCAATATATAATTGAAAGAGATAAAAGTTTTCCAAATTAATTATTTTACTGCAATTGTGTTTGCAAAAGAATTGTTATCCAAAAAAGAAAAGAAAACTATATTTAGCTTAATAATTCAGCGGACTATCAAATTTTATGCCTAACCACGTAATAAAGAGAAATTCCACTATACCATTGCAGTAATAATTAATGCCGAGTGTCATAGAATTCTAAGTCCCTGATAGATCTCTTAGAAGTTCAAAGTATCATTTATGAATGATTCATGAAGTCAAGCACAAATTTAAAATTTTCACCCAGACATCTTAGTGCAGATAATCTCAAGAGGCACATGTACCTGCAAAAGTAGTTGATGGTGCACGTCTTTTGAGGACGATCCATTAGTTTTCTCCGCAGACTCATCAGAACCATTCTCAGGCTTTGTGGCCAGCAGTGGAACAAGGTGAGTCTCAAGATTTGGCTTAAATCCATCCTGATTCACAGTGCTAGATACCCACAGGGGAAAAATAAGTGAAGAGAGAAGGGGCAGTTCGGGGAAAAGTTCCAAAAAATAAATAGCAGAAAATTACAATGGCAAGAGATCTATTGAGTTTTCTTGATGTAAAGACTATTTCCCAAAGGTTACAATATAAAAGAATAAAAATTAAGCCTTCACAGAGGACAACAGACCGGTTTAGATGAATAGCCAAAGTTGGTACTCGCAAAAGAGGCCGCTTCACTTTGACAAGCCTATGCAGGAAGGAACCATCCTCTGCTCTTAAAATCACCCTTCCAGCTACAGTCAGATCTCTATCAAACCAAGTGTGCCACAAACCACCACCATATGTTTGCACATTGACCATAAGGTAGCCAGATTTGCATGAAGCAGACCTTGGCTTCAGCTTCATACATGGGCTATCTGTATGAGCTGCAATTATATGAAAGCCATTTCCAATTGAATACCTGCAAAGCTAATGCATATTTCTTTAACAAGAGAATAAAAAATGGTATAGATTTGTGATTTAAAACACACACACAGAAACTATTAACTACAAAGTGCATTCCTTGGAAGAAGTTCTCAAAAAGTTCAAGTAAAATGCAATATGGAACAAGGGAAAATAGCACACAAAAAATTTACTATAATGCAAACAGCAGAAACTACAGTTCCCAGATCTTAATCTGTCAACAGGCTTGTATATGGCGAAGAGGATAGTATGAAACTTTCTAACTAATAGATAAGTGATATTTGTAATTTGCTCACTTTTTCCCAATGGCAAAGGCAACCAAAGAGGACATATTCCGAGTAAAGAAGTAGCGTCCACCAGGTTTTAGGTCCCATTCCTCATTCTCATTCAGCAAATGAAATCCAGCAGCAATTAGTTGTCGTTTAGCTTCAGCTGTTAAGATGAAATAGAGTATCTGTTAAAAAGTCTTCATCAGCCATCAATTCAAAAGTTCCCAAAAATGACAATTGAAATATGAAATCCATCGATTCAGTATGATTTATTGGGGAAGCTTTAATAAGGCTCTTGAAAAATAGCTTAGAAAGAAAAAGTATCATATAAGCATGGTTTTATGTCTGTTTAAATATTTACTCAGTTACATGATTCTTAACTACTGTTAACCTGATCACTTTATAAAGATCCTAATCCTTATTTTACTTACATAGAAGTATATGAATAAAGAAGTTCAAAATTCAAATGGCATAGCTGCTACAAACTATATTCTGAATAGTGCAATTTTAGTTAACCGATGCATAGCCAGTTTCATTGTCCTCTCTTTGTTTTCAAGCACCGTGATATAGTTTGCAGATAATTTGGAACTTGCAACAGGAATTGATATTTACCACAGCTCATTCTAGACAAAGGAAAGTTTTACAGCATACCTGTGGCATGGAATTGAGTCCATGACTCATTGAGGTAGTCCAGAAGGTCGCCGACTATGGATGAACTCGATTCAGAACTCACGAAAGCCTGAATTGAAATCAGTTCTCATAAACGAACACCTCTAGGTATGTGTATACACACACAAACAAACAAAGATAGACAGAACGAGAGAGAGAGAGAGAGGAGTTTACCTCTGGAACTGCGTCAGATGAGGAGGAGCAGAGTGGCGGAGTGGCGGAGAAATTGCGGAGGTGAGAGGTGCGGAGATTGGCGTTGGCGGCTGAGAAAGGCCGCAATGAGTGAGGAAATCTGGATAAGAGCACCGACGATTTGGATAGCGGAGGGGCATATAGGAGGTGGAATCGAGCTGCGGCCGCCATTTTAGCCACACAAAGCAGAGCTCGCGCTACACTCTCCGTCTCTGCCTGAGCTACACCTGCTGGCTCACGAAAATAACCAACCGTTTCTACATTTACCTTGAGGCTTGAGCGGACAAAAATGTAAAATGACAATGACATTTTTAAGGGATACGATTTAAGGGAAAATGTTCAAATAAATCTTGATGTGAAAAATTAGGTAAGTTCTTAAATTTTTAAAAAATTCAGTTACACCCATTAACATGTTATTTTGAGGCAATGAAACTCAAGAATCGATAATAACTTGCTATTACATGTCATTTGGGATTAGACATCATCTTCAGCAAAAATCTGGCTGGTTGATCGTCGCCGGTTGCCGTATAGCATAAAAGGGGAACTGTTCGCCTTATCCAGCGGAAAGCGACTGGTCGCCTTCTATGATAGATGGCGCGACCGTTGCCGATCGTCGAATTTTTGTTGGATATGATGTCTGAATCCAAATGACCTGTAATAGTAAATTATTTATCGGTTCTTGAGTTTCATTGATTCAAAATAACATATTAATGAGTGCAACTGAACTTTTTAAAAATTTATGGACCTAATTAACTTCTTAGATAAAATTTAGGATTTATTTGAACCTTTTCTCAATATTTAATAAGCTCTCCAACTAGATCAAATAGACAATTTGTATAATTAAACTCTCAAATTAAAAAAAAAAAAAAAAAAAAAAAACTTTACTTAAGTCTTTAAACTTTGTATATTTTGAAAGGAGTAAAAGACATTTTTGGTCCTAGACTTATAGTGGTTTGGACAATTTTAGCACTTTATAAAAAAAATTTGCCATTTTATGGACAGAGTTATTGTGGCGAGGACATTTTTGGTCCTCCGTCTATATTTCTGTTAGATAACCGTATGAGAGAGGGGCAATTACGTCAATTTAGGCTATCTCTTTATTGTGAGATGGACGATTTTGGTCCCACAACCATGCCTTTACTCTGACCCTCATTTATTTGTAGTTTTGCACTACGAAATGCTCTGCCCACAACCATGCCTTTACTGCAACTTGGACTCTCCGACTCCTTCGAATTATGACCGAGAAGAAAACAAAACACACATAGATATAATAGATAGAAGGAGATAACCTAAATTGACGTAATTACCTCTCTCTCAGATGGTTATCTAACAAAAATATAGACGGAGGACTAAAAATGTCCTCGCCACAATAACTCTGTCCATAAAATGACAAATTTTTTTATAAATGACTAAAATTGTCCAAGCTACTATAAGTCTAGGACTAAAAATGTCTTTTACTCATTTTGAAAGTTAAACAAAGTGAATTTGAATAGACTTTTGGGGTTGAGGTTTGAAAGAGGTTGGGTTAGGGGGGCAAAGTGTAATTTACTCTAAATTAGTATATTTTATTACTGCGGGTAATAATAAAATATACAGTAATAACCGTGCAGTAAAACTGGAAATTGTTGAGCGTACTCGCCTGAAACATCTTCTACTCATCGTTCACCGAAATTCCTTGAAATTTCCTTGATTTTTAATTTTTTCCCAATAATATTTACAAATCATAATCCTGCGGTACATGTTCGAAGATCTTCATAATCTTCTCAAAAATTGACTTTGGAGGTGTTTTTTTTTTTTTTTTAATTTAATTTTGATTTAATCATCAACAGATCGATCTACGATCGATGGCGAAGGAATTCAACGTACCGCCGGTGGTATTCCCGTCCGGCGGGAATCCAGGTCCGCAGCAAAGACGCCTGCCGACGGCGCCGTTTCAGCCATCCAAGGCATCGACGCCGAGCATCCCGTTCATGTCCTTCGACATCGGCTCCGCCGCGGCCTCTACCTCGTTTTCCACTCCCCAGTACGCTTCCGCCACCATTGGCAGCGGCGGCGGAGGCGGAGGCGGAGGCGGTGGTTCCACAGGGTTCGAGGACGAGCCGCCGCTTCTGGAGGAGCTCGGGATCAACACCAAGCAAATCTACCAGAAAACGCTCTCAATCCTGAATCCGTTCCGCGTGAAAGCGTACCTTCACGAGGACGCGGATCTGTCAGGGCCGTGCCTGTTCCTGATGGCGTTCGGGCTCTTCCAACTCCTCGCCGGAAAGCTCCATTTCGGGATCCTTCTTGGCTGGGTGATCATGGCTTCTTCGTTCCTGTACGTGGTGTTCAACATGCTGGCGGGGCGGAACGGGGACCTGGATTTGTACAGGTGCGTGAGCTTGATCGGGTATTGCATGCTGCCGATCGTGATCTTGTCGGCGATCTCGCTGTTTTTGCCGGGAGGAATGGCCATTAATGTTGTAGCTGGAGTGTTTGTTTTATGGTCCACAAGAGTTTGCACTAAGCTCCTGGTTGAACTCGCATCCTGCGGGGATGAACACCATGGTCTCATTGCTTATGCCTGCTTCCTGATTTACATGTTCTTCTCCTTGCTAGTCATATTTTGATCTCAGTTACCTCAACTTTTGATTCTTGTGCAAGTTTTTGCAGCCATGAAACTAGTTAATTAGGGCATTTGTTATTCTTTCAAGGCTATGAGTCATGGAATTCAATTCTTTTATTATTGCATGGCACAGCTATATATGGAATACTTAACTGTATGTGTAGTTTGAATTTCAATTCGCAGTCTTATTCAGATACAATTCGAGTGTTGTATTAGTGGTATGATTGTTAGTGGACTAACTCATATACAATCCGACATTGCATTATCCATATGATTATTAACGAACTAATTCAAATACGATTTCAGTGTTGGGTTATTGACTTTCTTATTGGCGTGTATATAATGTCTGAAGATGGTTTGATGCTCATTCCGTGGTATAACATCTGTGATTCAGATTCATTAGTTTGGTTGGAAGGTATATAGTGTTACGAATGGTAGCAGCCGAAGACGACGCGAAGTAAATTATGACTCCGGAGAAAGTTAGAAAAGGAAATTTCGGGAGGTCAATTAATCGACACAAAATGATATGTCGTTAAAAGGTGTTGGGCGCCACCGGTGACGAAATAGCAGTAGCCACATGGGAGACAATCCGCTCGGAAGAAGTTCCCGCAAAAGCATCAGAGGCGGCCGCCATGATGAACCTAGCCTACTGATACCATATGAGGATTGGTATATTCAATCATAGTCATAATCAAATAAGAAATATATGACTACTGATACCATATGAGGATTGGTATATTCAATCATAGTCATAACCAGATAGGAAATATATAAAATAAAAAACGTAAAAAACATCTTTCTACAACTAGCTAATGCTATAAGCTAGTTAAACCTGTTAACCCAATCCGCCTAACAACTTGTCGAACACTCCTAATTCTAATTTCATCTCAAATACATTTTCAAATAGTGACTATGATAAGTTTTTCTAAATATATTTTTAAAGAATCATTGAGCCCGTCCCACAAAATATATATAAGCCAGATTTTTTTTTTTGAGGGGTAAAACACAACTTTATTAAATCAAATAAGGAATAGATGAAAACCAAGAAAGTGAACCAGTTTAGGAACGAGCTGCTCTTGCTAGCGCATGAGCCAGCTTATTCACTAATTTAGGGATGAAACAAATAGACACAACCTCAAAGTATCTTCGATAACTCCTGCAATCATTTATTACACAACCGGCATAAGATGAATCAGGCATAGCGCTATTAATAAAACCGCATACCAGCTGATAATCTGAAAAAACCTTGATCTTCATAAAACCGCAATCCTTTGCCCAAAACAGAGCTTTTTTAACAACCATAGCTTTAGCAAAATGAACATCATGTAAGCAACGAAAAGCACCGTTTTATTAAAAGAGAATCAATTTTCAAACTACTACAGCAAGTAGTTAAAAGTAGTTGAAAAAACCCATTCGCATTGGCAAAAGCAAAAGTGAAATCATACCTAAATCAACAAGACAACAACACAACCACTACGGCACTACCTCCCAACTTTATTATTATGAGGAATTAAAAATAAGGGAAAAATAGGCCATTTAACTACACACAATAATGCAATTCGGCCATTAAACTTTAAAAAAAAAAAGACAATTAAATTCCTAAACTAACCAATTTCATACAATTAAGTCAATTTACAGATTTTACACGTTAGTAACATGTCACTCAAAATTTATTTTTTTAAAAAAAATTATTATTTAAAACTAATAATTTAATTTATTTTTTTTAAAAAAAGAAGAAAGATTCCCCGTCTTCGCCAGAGACGGGCCGGAGACGAAGAGACTCTCCATCTCTGGCCATGGAGACGAAGAAACTTTCTCCGTCTTCGGAAATAGTATTTTTTTATAAATTTTAAATTATTACTTTTAAATAATAATTAAAAAAAATTAAATTTTGGATAACCTGTTACTAACCTGTAAATTCTGTAAATTAGATCAATTGAATAAAATTGGTTAGTTTAAGGATCTAATTGATACAGTATTTTTTTAAAATTCAGTAACTTAATTATATTATTGTGTGTAGTTCAATGGCCTACTTGACCCTGCTCCAAGTAATAATAATGGCAGCTTTGACGGTTAGACGACTATGATGGAACCATGAATTTCCCAAGTTAGCCTCACCAACCCCCGCCACCGCTAGAATATCATCATATTTTATTTCAAAATTGGAGCATGCCCATCACACCTTCCCACTAATCATCCTTTGGCTCATATCTATTTGGAGACGAAATCAGCAATAAATGTTCAAAAAAGTTGCTTAAGATCATCAAACAAACACTTTGAATTTCATTTGATACTACTACCAGATTTGGCATAGCACTATTTGCTAATTATGAGTTTCAAACCCATGGAAGCGTCTTCAGGTCTCTCTCTCTCTTTCTCTTCCTCTTTTGGTGTAGAATATATGTGGGTTGTGATTACTTTTCATCTTACTTTTCTGGGATTGCAATTACTGTTTGGTTCAAGAATGCGTAATATAAAAGCAGCAACCCTTGGTTTTCGATCAGTTTAAGAAACTCGTGTTTTGATGTTTTGGTTTCAGGTAAGTTTAGGACAGCCATAATTGTGTTGTTGGTTGGTGGGATTCTGGGATGGGTATATCAAGCACTCAATCCGCCGCCGCCCAAACTCTGCGGCTCTCCCGGCGGTCCACCGATCACGGGGCCAAGAATCAAGCTCAGAGATGGCAGATTTTTAGCTTATAAGGAACATGGTGTGCCCAAACACACAGCCAAATACAAGGTCATTTTTGTTCATGGCTTTGGCTCTTGCAGGCATGAAGTATCCATTGCAGCTTCGGTAAGCTTATAACAGTCGATCCTCTGACCTTACAGTTGCATTAGCAGTCGATCCTCTGACCTTACAGTTGCATTAGCAGTCGATCCTCTGACCTTACAGTTGCATTAGTAGTCGATCCTCTGACCTTACAGTTGCATTAGCATCGATCCTCTAACCTTACAGTTGCATTAGTAGTCGTTCCCCTGACCTTACAGGTGCATTAGCATCGATCCTCTAACCTTACAGTTGCATTAGCAGTCGATCCTCTGACCTTACAGTTGCATTAGCATCAATCCTCTAACCTTACAGTTGCATTAGCAGCGGTTGATCAATTGTATGTAACTGTTGTTTCAGAAAGCTGCTGAGGAATTGCGGGTGCACTTTGTGTCATTTGACAGGCAGGGTTATGGAGAAAGTGATCCTGACCCGAATAGGAGCATCAGAAGTACAGCTCTAGATATAGAGGAGCTTGGTGATCAATTAGGTCTTGGATCCAAATTTTACGTGTTGGGGTTTTCCATGGGTGGGCAGATTGTTTGGGGATGCTTGAAGTACATTCCTCACAGGTAGATTATGATCATGTTTAACTGCCTTTTAGCTTAAACATTTAGTTAAAACAAAACAATTCATTCGATTTGGTATCAGAACTGACAAAAATTCATGGTTCAATTCTACTTTTATGATCTTTTATGCTTGTGCTTAAGTGCTGAGATCAGTTATGGCATATCTGTCTTTTGTGGTTTGGTAGGCTGGCGGGAGTGGGGCTAATAGCGCCCGTGGTGAACTACTGGTGGCCGGGATTTCCTGCAAGTTTATCTGCAGAAGCATACAATCTGCAGTTCCCAGAAGACCAGTGGGCGCTTTGGGTTGCACACCATGCCCCTTGGCTTGTCTACTGGTGGAACACTCAAACATGGTTTCCTTACTCAAGTGTTATTGCTGGGAGAGCCAACATGTCTCGCCAAGACAAGGAAATCATTTCCAAGCTACTTCCGGGCAAAAAAATGAACAAGGTACTATGTTGTTTGAATTCTAGAATCATGTCAGCACTAGGTACTATGTTGTCTGAATTCAAGAATCATGTCAGCATGCTGGTAATGTGCACATGGTTGGTTTGGGAAGTGTGTGTGTTGAGCTTGAACCTTTTTTTAGTTGAGATGGAACACGTTTCAATTCTGTGTTTTGGGTATGCAGGAATATGTAACACAGCAAGGGCTATTCGAGTCCCTGCATCGCGACACAATGGTTGGGTTTGGGAAATGGGAGTTTGATCCAATGGATATCAGCAACCCTTTCCCCAACGGCGAAGGCTCTGTTCATCTATGGCATGGCGTCGAAGATGGGCTCGTGCCGGTCACGCTGCAGTGCTACATTGCCGGAAAACTTCCATGGATACACTACCATGAAGTGCCTGAAGGTGGGCATCTGTTTGCACATGCTGAGGACATGAAAGAGGTTATTCTGAAGACTGTTTTGACAGGGGAGAAGTGAGAATAGTTACTGTATATCTGCAATTTATCTGTCAAAATAGGTAAAAGTATCTCCACACAGTTTATCATAACTCATTTTAAGGTACCATATTCTTTTGAGATAAGATAATAAGATATCAGTGACAGCTTTGAAATGAAGCATCAATAGGACAATTTGTAAACTTGAAGTTTTATATCACTTTATTGATGGAATCCATCACAGAAAGTTATTTCTGAATGCTGGAAGAATGAATTCCAAGAGAACATGTAGTTCTGTGAGAGTTAAACAATATATGAGTACACAGCTATTGACAACATAAACATATATTTAAAGCTGAATCCACGAAAAGAGTTTAATGGGAAAACCCGAAAAGGTACCCAGGAAGAAACGAAAAAGGAAAGAAGAAAATGCCTCGAATTGTAATGGTTACACAAGACTTTACCATTTTAGAATGGTAGCTTCTGCGATAGGAAGCGCTTGGTCCTTTACTTGGGTAACCCGGTTTCAGGGTTGAGGAGGGCTTGAGTTTCATCACTAAGAACCACCGGGCCTCTTCCAGGTCTCGTGCAGATGAAGTAACTAACATCGCCCTTGTTCTTAGTTGGAATGTTGTCCTTGATTTCTGGAGGTGGTGGAAGTGCTTCCACGTCGTTCAAGTCCTTAATCCCAGCATCCCCGAGTATTGATTTATCCCCTATGACATAGCTGGAGAATAAAGCGGGCAAAAGTGTATCAACAAATCCATCTGCAAGAGTGTCTAAACTCTAAAACTCAAAGCTCTATTTAGTAGTACTGTATAGTCAATGTGTGTTTGTACTGCTAAGTCACCTAATGTTTGAAAGAGTTCAACTGGAATTACCTGCTTAGATCAGTATCCGAGTTTGGAGGGAAGTAAAAGAGCAGTCTTTGAACCAGAAGGGCAGCTGCCTTTCTATTGCGAGCAATCATAACTGCATTTGGCCCCGCATCAAAAGTGTAAGCAACCTGCGCGATTCACTTTTTAGTAACTTTCATATCTCCAAAAATATAAGATAAACACAATGTCAAATCATGAATGCATTCGCTGAATACAAGTCAATAGTTAGGTTTGCGGTTTGATTAAGTCCTTTGGATTTCTGATATTAGGGACCTAAAATGCACACATTGAAAGTCAGTCACAACTCACGAAGGATCCCTCACAACCAGAAAGAATGGTGCACTGGCTTGTGATACGTAATCAGGCAACAACATAGTAATGTCAAATATATAGGAAGAGGTCTTTGCATTAAATATATATGAAGAGAACTTTATGCAAAGACCGAGTTTCCTTCAAGCATATCCAAGTTGATCGAACACACCTAGCCACCTAGGACACATTTATTTGATGTTTCATGTTTGGTTGATTTTTGAAACACGCAAGAGAAGTCGTTGACTAGTGTGTATCAATAACCTTTTTAAAACACTCTCAGAAATGAATTCTCCTAGCAAATTCTTCTCTATACCAACTGGATATGTAAGAGAAGTCGTTGAGATTCTATTTGTTATTGTATGAAAAATACACTCATATATTTAAAGGATTTTGGGATGAACATAACAGAAAAAAGTCCAAGTGGATAGGAAAAGAAATGAAAGAAACCTGTGGAGTTCCTTCCGAACGGTTCCATTTCTCCACACAGCTAATTATCCTGAAAAGTTCAAGACAACATCAAGGTTTAATTTCTATTCCTCTTGTTATGTAAGGTGATTTTGGGGTTAAAATATCTGCCTGTTTCTATGGAACAACCATCAAATGAAAATCCCAAGTTAAATAAAAACAGAAGATATAAACGTGCCTATGAGATGTATCATTCATGTAGAATATGGGGGGAGTTGTATCCAGGCAGACTGCATGAAACTGATTGCTATCTGCACAAGACAGATGGGCAAAAGATGGAAAGTCGCGATTTTTAATTGCTTCCTCCATTTGAACTACTCGTTTGGGTACTACCTCCTGTAAGATCAATAGATGGTTGGAAAAGGTTGAAATGTTAGAACCAACTTTCACAATTAAAGAGGAAATGGTCACCAGAACGAATGGAAACATAATGATCACTGTTAAGGACTTCAATGTGAGACCCAACAAAATTTTGAAGAATCAGGAGTAGGAGATTATACCTTTGCTCGGTGCTGTATAAGTGGACTGGTTTCAACAGTATCACGCATTCCACTGGTGCTGCTTGTTTCCTTCTGCCTTGAACTTACCTGAAACAAACAGTATATGAATCCATAGAGACCCTAGAGCATGGTTTGACAAGATAGTGCATGTGGATCAAACTAAAGAGGGAAAAGGCAGACAGGGAGCATAAGCTCTGTTTTCAAAGAGACTGTTTCTGAGGCATACGCAAATAATCTAATGGTCGAGAGGTGAGCAGTTGGCAACCAAAATGATCCCAACCGTTATCAAATTAACAATACCATTCACTATATGTGGTTTGTCTCATGCTAACAACACAACACAATACTTACACAAAATGGGGTTATGCTCAAATAACGTCTTATCCTATCAATTACTATTTCATCCTTT